AAAACTTTTGTTTGTCAAAATTGTTCTAGATTCTAATAGGACGAGCCATTCGTTATGTCGATTTATTTTAAGGAAAAAAGCAATTCGAGAAAATTTCGGAGTTAGACGGTTAGAATTCTCTGCCCACGATAAGGTCATATGAGCGCCAGAAAATTAGCGGTGTTACAAGAGAGTAACAAACATAAAAAAGGAGGGGAGATAAGGCCGATAGATGTTTGATAGGAAAGAAGAAGCAAACCACACCAGAGCACCTGCCAACCACCCACTCCTATGTATCATCAATGAAAAGGTATTTTCAACAGTACATCACTACACTCAAACTGTTCATCTGCATCCTTTTGTCAAAAACCTCTTGTTGGAGAAAAGGCTGATGCAGCCACAAGGGTCTTGTGAATTTAATGTCTGCACTTTGGACGGCGAACAACATTTAAAGGAATCAATTTTCACAAACTCCTGACCAGCTGCTTCACATAATGTGTACTGGCTCTCATCAACAACTGATACAAAATTTTGCTCAGCCATGTTCTCCACTGCACACACACACACACTGTATTCCTTCCACAAAATGATGCAGCCATACACTAGAAAACTCACTGTCGTCATTTACTCTTTCATTTAGAGACCGTATTCCTTCTATAAAATGATGATGCCCTGCACTAGGAGACCTCACACTATCCTCACTTTCGTCGTTTCTTCCTTCACTCACTGGCCTTGTCCCTTCCATACATTCTTTTGCTCCTTTACTCGCTGAAAATTCTACAGTCCTTTCTTCCAATCTCCTCCTCTTCCAAACTGGCTCTCCTCCACCAGATCCTACCCTCTTTGCACCAATTTCCCCTCCTTCAAACCCTGTTTCCTCTTGACTGGACTCGGGTGTTGTCCTCCAATATCCTCTCAGTAGATCATACACCTTTAAAACTCGTTCAACCCCTGAACCAGACTTCCACCTCTCTTCACCCCAGGCCAATCGACCCAGAAACTCCTTAAATTGTACCATGCCTCTCCTAATTCCACACAGATACAATCAACCCTCCCTTGTATATGAAACTTATACATCTGCCTCTTCCCTGCCAAGTCCACAGCAAATAGGAAAGTATTCCCTCTCATCTGAAATCCAAAGGACAGGTTTGGTATATCAAACCCATATGATACAACCTGCCTTCTTCAAAACGCATGAAAAACTCTCTCGGCTTCTCCACCTTTGATACATCTACAGCTGCAACTGGACGATTCGCCATCGCTACTGCTTCCATGGTCCTTCAGGAACTGACAGATCTGTGAAAGAGAAAAATACAGACAAGGCACACATTAGTATCATCATACAAGACTATAACATGCAGTCTTTTACCCTGACAAACGCTATATTATTGAAAATACATAAGCATGCAGGATTAAGTATTATCAAAAGTTTCATTTCTAAATTCATGAAAAAAGGGAAAATTATGCCGAAACATGTACATGAGCTCTGGTTTGACAACCCAGTAAGAGAGAAAAGCACATTCTTGTAATACTGGCAAGTTAGTGGTTGGAAAAAAGGCATGACGAACTGACAAACTTAACAGACAAAATGTATAAAATAGTGTACAAACTTCTAGTGGCATCCTGCAAACAACCACGGACAAAAAATAGTCCACATAAAAAACTTGATGCACAAAGGAACAAAAAAATGCATGAAGCAAAAAAATAAAACACAACAAAAAACAGAAGATATCTAGGCCTAGGTTATTTCTACATTTTTCCACATTCGCCAACAGGCAGATTATTTGGTCGCTTTTAAGGACAAGCGGGCTAACCCAGATTTCGGGGATTTCCAGAAATCGTGACCTACACCAATAGTCGGTATATTCTAGAATTCTGTGGTATAGTGGGTCCTACCTATATGAAAAGTTTGGTTTCATTGCTGTGCATATGTTTGGTTATAGAGAAAACTACTTGTTTTTTAAAGAAAGTGAACAAGGGTCCAAAACTTTACCTTTGATTTTCTCAAAACAGCATTTTCCGGGATAGCCCCCTTGTGCTTAAAAGCGACCATTTAAGGACCTGTGAAATATGTATCGAATTATAATAATCATGCTAGACAAGATTTTCTCTCAGCTTAGGGTTTGACTTTGGTTTAATTCATTAAGACAATAAGAGTTTTTATCTTTGACTAAGGCTTCTTAGAATAGAATAAAGACAGAACAAAATCTGCATCCCCGCATCAAAATTACCATGTCCTGGAATGCAAATCTCGAATTGGAATGTGTTGTGTCTATGAGTTGAATATATCTGAGTGAAATGGAAAAGAAAAACGTCTAAAATGTGTGCATGACTACGTGCAAATATGTCTGCATATCCATGTAAGCCATGGGTGTGCATGGCTGGAAATAAAGAAAACAGGCGGATAGTTATATCATGTACCCACACACATACTGTAGACTTTGTTTAACACTAAATTCTTGTCACCTTCAAAGGATTTCAAATCCTCTTGGTTTTCCCCCCTCTTTATTCTAAGCATTGCAAGTTCCTTCAATATAAAAAAATATTAAGAAATTCTCTGTTTCTGAGGGATTCGCTCTAAATCTATTTTCCTATCTACTTATAAGACCTGTTTAGTACTGAGAAAAACAAGAGAGGCAGACAAACACAACACACACAAACATGGAGTCAGATGAAAAAGAGAAGGAAGTCATGGGGGGGGGGGGGAGACAGAGAGAGAGAGAGAGAGAGAGAGAGAGAGAGAGAGAGAGAGAGAGAGGGAGAGAGAGAGAGAGAGAGGGGGAGGGAGGGAGAGAGAGAGAGAGAGAGAGAGAGAGAGAGAGAGAGAGAGAGAGAGAGAGAGAGAGAGAGAGAATATCAACGCCCCTACCAACACTGTTAGGTTATTTAAGAGGCAGGACCTCCGAGTTTAACTTCCGAAAGGACCGAGCTAAATGGGAAATAATTTCGGAAATTCGTGTAAAGTGCCTTTCCCAAGGACACAACGTCGGACGGAGCTCAGGCTTGAACCCCCGAACCCACAATCCCACAATTAAGGGCCCATGCAGTAGCCTACATAACCACTAGGCCACAGACGTCATCAGAGAGAGATAGAGAGCTTTTGAGTTAAGAAAGTCACATCAACATGATAAAAGCCATTTAAGGCTGATTTTCTCCTAAGATAATTTTATTAAAAATCAAAACTTGGACACTTTGTTCAAATAGCATGGTAATTATTACGTTCACTCCCACCAGCACAGGCACTGTTTACGGGAACAAGACTCTGTATTAAAGACTAGAACACACATCATGGCCACTAAAACCATCACAAATGGATTGCTTTCAAGAAATTTCAAACTTTAAATAGCAAAACATCCAATTAGTGGGAGGCCCAGATTTTTTCACCCCTTGAGGACATGCCCCCCCCCCCCCCCCCCACCACCCTCAATTCCTCCCAGATTGTTAAAAATGTACAAAATGCAAGGCCGTGCAAAATTTAATAAAGTCCTTTGACACATCAAATGTCTCAAAAACCAATGATTTGCGATGGAAATTAAGTCAAAATTCATACACACAGAATGCATGGAAATGAACCAGGAAAGTGGTATACAATACCAGAGCATAAGATTGTGACATTTTTTCCACCACAATTTTTTTTTTCTATTACATTTTTTGGGGGGGGACTTAGGCTACCATCTTTCAAGCCTACTTATAAACACACATCCGTGCGTGGTTTCACTTAAAAATGTGAGGCACCTTGGAGAAATCAGGTGCTTGTCAAAATAATTAAATCAAAGAAACTGCCTTTTTTCCCCCAGTTTGAACATTTGTATTAATTTTGGGTTTTTTGTTTAACTACTTTTTTGTCCATGTTAAAAACACATTTCAGTGCAAATTTTGCTGAGGAACATTGATTAGAGGGACAAAAAATGTACAATTTCAGTTTCCAAGGACTCTCAAGCTATGGAAGTCGTAAAACTTTGGCGGCCATTTTCTCATTAATTTTACCCCGGAAACCAGTCTCCCCCCCCCCCCCCCCCCATCCCCTCCAACCTCCTTCAACCAGAAATCTCAACCTCTATTTAAGATAAATGGGTAATTTTTTTCACCAAAAGTGAGACAAATGTACAGGCTTCCACATGTCCAAAAATTGACAAGCGCTTGAATCCACCATGTCGTCAAAGACTGTGTATACACGGTCTTTGATGTCGTGACAAAATAAATGTTGATCAAAGACACCCCAAAAAATGAATGAAAATTTGCAGTTTCCAAGGATTCTCAAGCTTTGGAAGTTTGAAAGTCACCCAAAGCTTTGACAGCCATTTTCGCAGCTAATTTTACCTCTGACACCACGCAACCTCTACGTCATTCAATCCTAAATATCTCGACTTCAGTCCATTCTAGATGAGCCACCTATTTTTTTTCCACCAAAGGCAAGATGCATGAATGAACAAGAATTAATAATCCCAAATGCCTAAAAATTAATGAGCGCCTAATTTCATTTTGTTGTGACACACTTATAATGGCTCTCTTCTGTGTGATGAAGATCTCTACTTCTATGACTCTATAGGCTAACAAAAATGACGGAGAGAATGAACTGAACAAGAAGCCAGGCCTGGGAGGGGTGGAATTCCGTAATGAGCGACCACCCCAACAAACACAATATAAAGACTATTTAAAGTGAGAGACCTAACCCTAACCTAACCCTTAGCCCAACCCTACCATTATACTCAAACCCTTACCCTCTATTCTACTCTTTTCTCATAGTGGTCGCTCTCAATGGAAATTCTCCCCCTGGGTGGAAGGAGGAATGAGACATTAAATAAAGAGGATTTTGATCTAGATCTAGTTGGGGAGACAGTCAACATAGCCAAACATAAACAGGAAGACAAAACCAGGAGGAGTTGAAAAACTTAGGGAATGCATGAGAATCACACAACAATAATAAAATATGATAATTCTTCGTACTAAGAACACATTGCAAGGAGATCACTAGCTGACAACTGCAGCTAAATTAAAAAGAAAGCTTAAAACTTAAACTAATTAATAATATAATTATTATAATTATTATAAATAGGGGCCTACTTGTAGGCTTATTAAGGGGGGGGGGGGGGGGGGCGGCAGCTGAAGGCTATCTCGTTTATTAGTGAATCAAATGTTACCAAATTTCACGCATATAACAAGCATAGTAAGGAATCTTAAAATCTGCAATCAAATTTGAAAAAAAACACTTGTTTCCAGGCAATAAAACGAATAAAAGATTGACTTTATGAGGAAATGGTGGTGACAAACATGCCCGGTATGGGAAGAAATAAGACTTTAGTGGGTTTTTATGTGATGAAATAGTTGTAAGAGAGGCTGAAGAAGCTAAAAATGCCTACAACTTAAAATCCATAGTTTTGAGCCGAATCAGGACTTTCATTGTTCCCATCCTACCACAAATATCCCGAAAGATTGGTTCCAAGTCACTGGAGTTACACCTGACAAATCCAGACTAGGCAGACCACAGGTCGACACCGCCAAAAAAGATAGATACAGCTGTGGTATCTTTGAGAACACTTTCACATAACGACCAGCTCTGCGTGTCAATTTCACACAAACACTGAAGAGTCATCAGCGATAGAAGGACACAACAGCCTTAAAACAATTCGGACATTGAGCAAGGCAGCCTTAGACCAACGTTCGCCATCTTTCCAATAATGACGCTATAACTGACCGGGCCTAAGAGGGAGCTCCCAAAACGATATTGACAGGGTACAACGACTGGGACAAGCTTTGCTTCAAGAGTGGAAGGGACTACCACAACAATTAATTAAAATAACAACTACCGGTACTGACATGACATTTTTTAATCAAGGGGTACCAGTTTGTGCTTAACACTGTGCCACTATATGAGACATGATCAAGAAACAAAAGGTAACGCACTTCCTGACATACTTTGAAATATATCTGTGTCAATTTTTATTTTGATATGTTGAATAATAACTACAATACAGGCTTCCTTCCAAGAGGACAGTTTCTATTGCCGCTGTGTATAGTTGTGTGTTCAACAAATGGGGCACCGTCGATGACAGGTCGATACCACGGATTTATGAGCTTCCTTCTTAAAGAAATCAGTCCCTGAAGTACCTACTGTTCATTTTGTCATTCACAGACAGCAGCATTTGATGGCAAAAAACCTGAGTGATAATCAGCATGGCACACTGGCCATGGTCATCAAGAGTGTGAACTAGATCAAAGCCCATACTTTCAATTTGAGATTATTCCTACAACTGTGCACTGAAAATGATGAGGAATTTCAATGCTTGTTCTAGTTT